ATGCAAACATACAAATACATGCATGAGCATGCATAAAGTATCCTTGAACCTTGTCTCCCAAAAAGAATTTCTGGCTACGCCCATGATTGAGCATTAAACAAAATGTTCATAAATGCAAGCATAAGGTCAAATGAAGAACAGAAGCATTGTGCTTTTAAACTCTTGACAATTCGTGACTTTTGACATGTATCCAGACATTCACAATACAAAACAATTCACACTTAGTGAAACTTGCCTGTTTCATCGTTATTTTGTTTTTTAATATTCTCTACAGTGACAAACACGCCAGTACACATATCCCATGCAAGCACATAGATGCAGGGTGTGCTTGCAGGGTATGAGATCACTTCACCTTAGCAACTAGTTTGCTTGCTCTACATGGCATTTCTTGGAAACGGAAATCTACTACATATTGGCTAGTGTGCAGGGAGTAACTTAGGCTCAGACACTGGTGCATTTATACGAATTGGCAGGCAACCAGATATCTTGGTACAACAGTTGCCCACTTCTTCTCAGGCGTCATGAATCAACTATCATATCCTACCGTTAGCATGACATAACGGAATGTTTCGCCTTGCCCGCAACATCACAAACGAGCCCATCATAGCAGGAGGGGGAGGGGGGATGGCACAGTCAAACAGTAAAAGCAGATTCACGCAGCTGAATCAAATGACCAATTTATATCACTATAATCCCTAGCGAGCAACGTAAGAAAAAATTTGAGCTACACCCACATAAACAAGGTTCACCTGTAGTCTCCTTCAGTTGTAAAAGCTTGCTTAATGCAAGTTTAAGAGATGAAGGTTCATCATTACTACCTATAGCGTTATGTTTAGCTGAGCAGTGATGTCAGAACCCCTGTGGAAATTCGTCAGAATATTCAAGTTTTTTAATTAATGCCAGTGATAAAAATATGCAACTATTAAAAAGTCAACTATCTGAAACCTTTGAGAGGTGCTTGTTGTCATGAAAATAGGCAAGGAATATTTAACAGAGCATTGATGTAAATGATCTGCAGCAGGTATGGTCGTATAATAAAGGTTGTGGGCAGAGCCACCATTTTTTTTTAGATTGTAACTGTCTACAACTGATCACAATGTATCTGAGTGAAATTAAAATCCACTGCGCATACTGACCTCATTGATAAACTTTGAGTGTTTTTCATACATGCCATAATCTATTGCATGAATCCTCATTAAACAATGGGTAAAACAAGTTTGCATCATAAGTGGCAGAGTGTGAAAATGCTCAGGGAACTACACAACGTTCGAACTGGCAACTGAATATTACAAATGCTGGCTAAATAGTACTTGCTAGTTCACAGTCTGTGTGGTAGGTTTTTTTTTAATCCCGTTTCTATACATAACAATGTCATTTGTTTAAAAAGTACTATAATGTGACCATACTAGATGCCGTGCAAGGTTACCCTTGCACTGTACGGCCTGGGCCACAACAGGTTGAATAAATGGCAAGGCGATTCGGGCGTCCCTTGTGTCTTGTACTACAGGGCCTGCAATGCAATGACCAGAAGCCTTCAAGAAAACTTCAATATGGCGATTTGGAGTCCTCAAGCTGCTTCAGTGTGCCCATTTCGCCAAGTATGCATAGTTTTCTCTTACCATAGTGTCTACATTTCACAGGCTAGCTCAAAGCTCAGTACCTTGGTAAGAATGGAGCATTGGGTAGAACTACAGGAGAAGTTTGTGGAGTTGTTCATTAAGATGCCACTTTTTTTTCAGTTTCTCTTGGCTTGGCTTTTTTATTTTTTTTTCATCTGCTGGTGTGTTGGGGCATTTGCAAGGAATCGGAGCGTGAAATAAATAAGAATTTCAGTTGAATAAATTTCAAATTACACGAGAGCACATGTCACAATGTGTCAACTATTAACACGTAAAGTACCCGAATGTTTTTTCTACCAACTCCCGCATATCTGCTTCAATGCAGCGGAACGAATGTGACCGGATCTTATAGTACGTCAACCAGCGAAAACACAGCTTTTTTTTTTTTCCTCTCTCTGGCCTCTCATTTCCGCTGAGACGTATTGTCTGTAATGAAACTAGACTATGATTAATCGACCAGGCCCTAACTAAGCAATACACGCAGTGCATGCCACATCACAGTCTTCGCGCACACCTGTCGACGTCTGCGCCCGGTTCGCGTCATAAGCCAGAAGCGAAAATACAAATATGACCGCGCACGCTACAAACGCTCTCTCGGACAAGAACAAAGACTACGATAGACTATTTTTATTCGTTCCTGAAAAAAAAAAAACAGTGGAAGCCTATGTTTAAACAACACCCGAACTCAAAATCTAACATTCGGCGCACTTCTTCCTGGTTTGCGGGAACGTCTAGACGTAACGCGAAACGCTCCGTTGAAAAAAAGAGAACTTCAACCTGAATTTACTTTTTAAGGTAACCGACGTTCCAATATCAAGCCGGCTTCTTCTTCAGAGGTGGGAAGAGATGCGAGGTGTGCAGATCTACTCTTGTCGAAAGCGTTCATTGCGAATGATACACCACAGAACACCTATACACAACCATTGTCACGCGAAGCGGCCAGGTCCGGCAGATCTTCCTTGGCGTGCCCAGCAGATGCCATGCTCTGCTGTAACCCACAGGAACCTCGTGCGTGCTCGCAGAGCTTTTGACAAGGCTCTGCAGACCTCGCATCTAGAGCCTTGATCCTGAACTGCCGAGGAAGAAGCCGGTCTGTCGGGTACTTGAGAATAAAGATTTAGTCGAGAAGTTTTGTTTCTTTCATTCTCCCTCCTCGCAGTTGTTGAGTTGATGTTTACAACTATAGAGCTTATATATGTAACAATTTAAAAATGCTTGTTTGGCACAACATTGTTCGTCATTAAATTTTTCCCTTCAAAAAAAAAAAAAAATACTGCGTCTTTATGTGCCCAGACATTAGCCTAGAATATAGCAGCAAGACAATGTCACTGTACTAAATTTCTTGGTGATGATAGTTATTGAGTTTCGTTTTTGGCATACTCTCAACAACGCTGCCCCCGTCTCCATCCACCACTACAACATCCGTACCGTAAAACCGTCATGGAGGAACGCGCCTAACGGTGAGCTGCCTCGCGATGATTTACGATGCTTTGTGTGACCGAGCGTGCAGTTATAAAAGTTATCCGGGAACAACGCCGCAGTCCAGAGCAGCCACGAATTTTTTATTGTATTCCCGAACGATGAGCTAGTTGGGTTTACGGCAATGCACCAAAGATGCGGAGAACGTGCATTGTTGAAGCTGGCCCCCGAAACCGCGTTCCGGCTGTAAATTTCCCAAACAAGGGAATGTTCCGATAAAATATAGGTGCGCATTTAAGATTACGTGTCTCGATCACGAACCATAACAGCATTAAATGTCGTTTTGCGCAGTGCACGATCGAATCAATGTTTTATGAGGAAAATACGGAGGAGAAAAAAATCTCTCTCTCTCTCCTTGCGTAAAATAAAAACGAGAAACTTAAACCAATCAATAAAAAAATGCGCGTTGTGCTATTGCTCGCAAACTAACTCCCCCACTCGTGCGCCCTTACGTACGTACGTATTATGATCGTTAAACACCTTTATTTTTTTATCTCTTGCCCTGGGACTCCGCGCCGAGCAGCGCACGTGTAGATGTTTTGCAAACAAAACGCGTACCGCAGTGATCCGGTATGCACATCAGTAGTAACGCTAGCGTCGAAATTTTTCAGCTACTTATACGTGCAGATCTATAACAAGTTATGAGTTTCCTCAGCGAAAGCAATTTAATGTTTCAGGTTTATAACTTATTAATTCCGTCTGTACAAGTTTCAGCGTGCATTAAAGACGAACACAGTATCGCAAAAAATATGGGCTAATAGCTAATAAGTAATATGCAGATTCACAACCAGCAGAAACTTCAACAAAAAAACAAAAACATATTTTTGAGAAGGTGGCTTTTTTGCACGACTTGTAAGCGCTAGGTGAAGCCTGCTTTACAAACAAAAACCTTTTTTTGATGTTGTTATTATGCGTGAGCAATGTCCTCCCTCAATGAGAAAACCGTTCAGTTCCTCCTTATGTCGCATAACTCGGATTGCTATACAGACAACTAACTTATAAAACCAAATACATTCGAAAGGGAAAAGTTGGCAGGCTATATCCCACGCTCAGAAAAGCCGACCGCATTTAATTGGCGAAACCGTAACGCTTCTAGCTGCCGTAACTCAGGCCCCGCGCGTGAGTCATAATCAACGCGCAGCTCAGGCACGTTCCCGCTAAACAACGCCGTCGGAACCCTGCCGTGGGTACGGATATCACCAGCATGCGGTGTACTATACATACGGCTGGAGCGTGCACCTGGGAGAGAGCATTCAGTAAAAAATAAATAAAGCATGCTACGCTGACGGTGTCCAACGCTAGGGGACAAATGTTTCGCCTAAAGACTTGAAACTAGCAAGCTTCAGGTGCTGACAACATCGTTAGCGTCGATCCTCATGCTGCCGAGTACGTCGACCGCTTATTTAAGGAAACACGGGTTAATTAAGCTTCGTTCTTCTGTATTGTTGTGGCTGTTTTTGGACGAACTGCTGCGTCATAAACGCGACAGTTCGCTATGATTATGTGCACACATTGCATTCAGAAAACTACGATCGTGTGTCCGCTACAGTTTTGTATACAAAGAGAGCGCTGGCGTCTGGAACGATATGCCTTTCTGCAACGGTTCAGCGCGACGATCCTGTCTCGTAGTTGTTCAGCGAGTTACCTCTCCTTCCTTGAACGTATGCATGCACATAGTTGAAGACGGGGTGTTCTGGTGTGCTTTTGCAGCGCATACACGGACAAATAAACACCGAATGAAGCAGAAAATGGACTGTGGCCGAACAACGGAATCGTTTCTTGTTCGGATTTATCCATGCTCGTTTACGCGAGAGCCACGTGACCGCCGCGCAGCCAATCGGAGTCCTGGAAAGCGTTGCCGAGGTTCGAAAGTTGATCCAGCGGTCTGTTTGATGTTTGTCAGTCGTAGTCACGCTCTTTTGTCCCTTTCGTTGGAAAACGGCTCGACAGCATCCGAATGGGACAAGAATATCGACTAACGGACGCTTTAAAGGTTCAACGGAGACGTACAGTGCGTGCTTAGAGAGGTGAGTCGTTGAGTGTGATCAAAAGCTGCAGGTGCTGCACAGGTGTGGTCATGTCCCCGCGTAGGGGGCTTGCAGGGTGTATCTTCTTTTTTGTACTATATGCAAGATGCCACGTACGAAGCATGCTGCCAGCAATACGAGTGAAAGGCATTAAAATGAGTGCAGACGAACTCTCCGTGCGATTTTTCGGATGGGGAGCCGCCTCAAGCTGTCTTGTAACGCTGTCGTCCGGTGCACTCTAGAACCCGATAAAGCCGCTTGGAATCGAATTCCTGAGCTGTGATCGGCTCTGTTGTGCGGCTTGCGTTAAGGAGCCAATCACTATTAAGCAGCTCGTTTTGGATCAGGCTCGATTGTGACCGGAAGTGACCGCGTGACACCGGTCATAGCACACATGTTGCTATTTGCCTTGCGATTCCGTACGTGCAATGTCGTAGGGCTGGCAAAAGAGTTATCGACTGCTCGTGCAACCGGTTCCCTGCCTCGAACGCGAGAAAAGCAGCCTGAAGCGTTCGCAAAATAATCGGACATATCGTAACCCGGAAAAATTCAGTTCCACATATATTCGACGTAAATTGGTGCGACAATTTGAACACAGTCGTGAGCAAGTAGGCCCTGCAAATTTGAACCTATTTGGTTTTTTTTTTCGTTTCTTTCTCGTGCGTCGACAACAACTCATCACTGGTCCATTAAAAATGAGAAACGGAACACACGGGCGGCAAACAAATTTAAGATTCGAGCACGAAATACCAAGTGCATGCAGCAAGCTGTACAAGATAATGCATGTCACTAACTAGAGAATTAGCTGGAGAGTACGGAAGGGAGGGGGGGAGGCTGGGGGGCTCGGGCTTCCTTTGGGCTGCATCATGGGGGGCAGATCGTCCCCTTGACACTTGCCTGGGATATTTTTAAGAACTTGGCTAAGGCTGTCATCCACCGCCAACAGACTGTTGGCCATCCTGTCTAGCAGCTATTTTACAGGGGACATGTATATGCTCGTTCGTTTTCCTTTCAGACTTTTAAAGGTCAAATCATGGGACAGTGACAGGTAGGGAGTCTGGTGCCGTGGTCACATTGAGAATGAAGTTACAGGATTACGCTAATAGTGGCATTTGCACCTCTTTTGTGCGAAACAAGAGCCATGCACACACACACTCACACACATATATGCATCAGGCGAGTGTCTTCTGTGGATCCAGTGACAAATAAAAATTGACTTGAGCGAAGAAACGTATGAAAACATTTATCGATTCCTACGTTTCGGTCAGGGTCCGGCCTTCATCGGGTATTCCCTGACAAAGGGCGGACCCCGGCGAAATGCAGGAATTAATAAATGTATTGGTTCGTTTGTCCGCTCAAGCCAATTTATGTATAGAGAGAGAGAAGTGCGGAAGAGCAAGTCGGGCGGCCCGCCCCCTGCGGTATTATGAAAACTCTCCACCTATGGTGGAGAATGTGGAAAAAGGATGACGCTTGAGCGAAAAACCTCAAAGGAGTGTTCCCAAAATTCAAAACGCACTTCCTGAGAAGAAATAAGAGTTGCAAGATATGGTTCGTTACCTCAGTGTCATGCGCTAAGCAGCTGTGCTGGTCTAGCTCATCCACTTTCACCAGTGCAATTACACACATTTAGTTTTTGTGCCTTTTTCCTTGTGAAGATTTTTCGCCGTTGAAGAGTAGGGCATGCAATTATTCAGGGTGTTGGACTAAAAAAAATATGCTGGTTCAGTGCTTGTTTGTAAAGAAAAAAATTCCACACAGAATTTTCTTTGGGAGTGTAAGCATTTGCTGCTATTCACCTGCTGATTTGTTGTCACGTCCTGCTTTGATGAGGCGATTAGTGTAGTCATGGTACCCGATGAAGTCCAGTATCACGAGTGTTTCTTTCAAAGTTGTTGGGTGGCACCGCAAGGTGTCTTTCCTCCTCTTGCCTGCGTTCATCAGCATATTGATGTACTTCCACAGGTAACAACCATTCATATGGTTCAGATATGTTCGCTTTATGCGAGCGAGGATTTTCCTCCAACTGGGTAGGACACTCGAGTTCAAGACACGTGGCTTTAAGTACAAAACCCCGTGTCACCAACTTTCTTTCTTTTAAAATTTATTTTGTTTTGTACATTAATTTCTTTGTTGCAATCCACCTTACTTGGACGAAATGTCTATCACAGAAATGTCATTAGCTGTACTGACTTTGTATATTGATGTGACCAAAAAGCGAGACTACAGGCGGACACCCAGGTGCCTGGGAAAGAGAAATCTCACGAGGCTTCTTGCTAACAAAAGTACACGATTTATTTACATATTTACATGGTCCAGCACACTAGGCGTTAAGACGCGCCTTTACACAAGACAAGACCGCCCATAACAAAAGTCAGAGAGAAAGCTCCCAGTGCACACGCGACGCTCCTTTTATATAGCCCGCTCCGGGCACGCCGACTGCGTGTCCCAGCTATGGCAATGTGCGTCCCCTGCAGTGCACGCAGACGCCTCTTGCATTTCTGCTGGATGCGGACGGCATTTGGACAATACGTCGATCAGCGTCTCTTGCAGGCCGAATCCATGCATTGCCAGTCATAACAATGTACACCCCCCTGCAGTAATGTCACTGCGGCATTAAAGCAGCTATGTAAAAATAAACTTTAAAAGAAAAGAAAGGAAAAACACAGGCTTCTTGTTGGGCCAATGTAGAAATTCTTACGTGTTAGATAAAAATGTTGTATCATATCCTCTCGCATACAACCCACCCATGCATATAACCAGCACCCCTAACTTAATTGTAAATAGCTGTGTCTGAATTGAGAAAGTAAATTTATAGGCATGCAGTAGCTCCACAAAAATAAGCACATAATCCACATTCCCACATTCTAAGCACTGTTTTTGGTGTGGGTCTTACGTGAGAAACTAGGACAAGCAGCTTGGTCAAGCAAACTTTACGCTTCATGCACTACATCATGTCTTTGGCTCGCCGCAGCACTGCTGATCTGCTTTCATTGATTTGTCCAGCAGGACCTGTATTATGCAATCTTCCATTGAATTTCCTTTTTGCTCCCAATCGTGTTGTGCTGCGTGCACTACACTAAAACAGAAAATTGAAGAAATGGAATTCAGTAAAATAAATTGGCTCTTTGGCAGATTATAAACGTTGATACATGTTTAAACATAAATATCAGTGAAATGTAGAGAAAGTAGCCACAGCATTTATTTTCATAAGCTTAGGCATTTTATGACTGCTACACTGCATAACAAGTGTATGCAGTGACCATTTGACAGATCTATCTATGACCTACCTCCTCCGCTTCTTTCAATCGATCATTTTTCTGCAAACAGAAAAACAGCACAAACTTACGTGACTTACGTGAATGTTTGAAGCGCAACCTTTTTGAGCCAGGTCAGCCACCAATTCTAGCACATTTCATAGCACCTTTGAGACTAATAGCAGTGGAGAAAAACAACTGCCGGATATCAACTGAAATTTCGTAAAATGAAAAGTTTTGTAAAGTGCTCTACGCACAATTTAATACATGTCTCAACAGTGGAGTGCAGTGCTTGTCGAGTTAATGGATAAAAATCTTGCATCATTTTGAAAGAATTTATGCTTGCCGGAATATTAGGTGTAATCGAATAGCTGTGTCTGAATTGAGATGGCACATTGACGGGCTGAATAAAGATCAGACATGCTTGCTGCAGGCATGCAGTGGATGACTCCCCTTTGATGCGTCTGCGTTGGACAGACGAGTCCGACCTTCGATCAGCATGAAGACTGAAACAACTGTTGTCACGTGGATTGCTTAATTCTGAACTAATATTACTTGTTTTTCAATTTTTTTGAAGTTCTACTCATGCTAAAATTCTGATTCTGGTATTGTTTTTGGTTAGGGTAAAATATTTGGAATATAAATTTTGTGGTGGACAAGACATCCACATTAACAAAGCATATTGCACTTTAAACAAGCTTTCCTGAGTGTTCAAAAGCTTAGCAGAGCTCAATAAGTAGACTTGGAAAAAACACGATATCACCAATTAATTTCCAGCTCTCAGCAGTGTAACTGCCAAGCTACTGCAAATAGATTGATAAGTTCCATAACTCCATGTGAGTGTGCCAAGAAGCAAATCGATTGTTTACGTCACTAGTCTGCCTTAGTGCTAACAAGCAACATGCTTGGAAATACCATTTATGATTACTGAAAAAACACTTGAAATGCCACAGAAAGGCCTAAATCACATTGCCTGATACATTCCACTCCATACACATTTTGTTTTTTGCTAATTTATAGACATTTAGGTACGCTGTTAAGTGATGACCAGTTGTGTTAACCGACTAGGATAGCTTTATCTTCACAGAAATGCCTTTCATCTGCCAAAAGAGCCTTGCACATTTTTTCTAAGGGGCAAAGATGAACGTTGCTATTCTCCTCCACTTTGTTGTGTTGTGTTTTCTCAAGTATGCAACATTGAGAAATTGCAGTTGTGTAGCAGCTTATGGAGTAGGGGCTGTTAGCAGTATTCCACAGGTATTCATATTACACAGTACTGCTGCACTTAGGTAACAGTAGCTTTCTTTGCTTTTCTCAAGCTTTGTTCCAATCCTCTAATTGCCTGTCAACTCGGGGCACTAATCCGTACTAATAATTCTTAGCCACTTTGAATTGTTCTTGAGGTCAAGAGCTTTATATTGAACAAAGCATAATGTGACACTCCAGTATGCTTGTCACCTTGGACCTCGAAAAATGCCAACACAGCCATTGGTGAATTCCAGTTTCTGAAGGAAGCTGCATTCAGCAGTAGGCGCTGTTGTTAATGATTGGCTGTGTTGCTGTGCTGTTGAACATTGATTTTATGCGAAACCTGGCAGTATTTTCTAATCATTTACTTTTCCACCACTTAGGTTGTGCACTGTCAGTTAGCTAAACAGTGCACTGTGTGTGACGACCCATGAATTGCTCGTCCATTTTGCAGTGGCCTGCTGCCAACACGATGAACCCTGGCCAACAGTTGCCAAGCATACCGCACTGTTGCTGCCTTCATGGACGTGCTGGTGGCATTGTTCCTCCTGTCCAGCCCATGCACTGCTGTGCCGCTGAGGGCCACCACTTCCGCAAATGCGATCAACCTTCAGGGGTCGAGCTCGTCAGGGGCAGGACTCCACAGCAGTACAGATGGCCGCCTGTCAACATTCGCTCCACCGACAAAAATGACAAAGTCAGCTAATGATGCTTCCCTGCTCGCAGCCGACAGCACAACTGCCTATCCTCGCCAAACTTCAATATTGCCTGCATTTGTTCACAACACCCCTGAAGAGAGTTTTACAGTGCATGAAGATTTCTCATTAAATAAGACAGTAGGCAGTAGAGATGCTCAAAGCTCATCAAATGACAATAACTCCACCATAGCCAGTCTGGTAACACAAACTTCTGATGACCTCCTTAGTTATGAACTGAGCTCGCTCAAGAACAAGTCAGGCGACAGATGGGTAGGCACATTCCCTGGAGGCATGCCGTCAGTTGAAGTGACAACTGTACTTCCTTCTCAAAAAGAGCCGAGGCTGGCTGGTAAATCATCAGTTGTCAAAGTGCACGAGGCGCCCTCACAAAGTGTTGTTAAACAAGACCTGACGACATCATTGCCAATTACAGTTCCTAGTGTTACCACTCACAGCCAGTTTGATAATGAAGATCTGCAAGTTTCAGCTGAAAGCCTGAATACTTTAGAAAGTACAAGTCATTTTCTACCAAGTGCAAGTTCTAATGTAACAACTCACAACTACTCTACAGTACAAAGCCTGTTCACTACAGCTGGTTATGCAGTTTCTGCCAATTCTGACGTGCTAGACATTACAGCCACACCAGAGACTAGCACACCTTTGTCTCAAAACGTCAACGTCCAAGCTCCAGTACCCACACAAACAAAAATTAGTGAAAGCAGCAAGATAGTGGACATTGAAATTCAGTTAAAGAGTCTTGTGTCAACACAAGGTGAGACCATCCAGCCTTCAACCCCAAGTTTTACACCTCCTTCCTTTTTTTCAAGTCATGAATTGCAGAGTGTAACATTAAATAAGAGTTCTTTATCCGAAACGCCACTGCCAGTGGACTGCACATCAGTGAATTGCACAGAGCAATCATTTCAATTAACTCCATGGCTGCCTTCAGTAAGAGGTTCATCTGATATGACCCCAGCCTCTTCAGTTGAACATAGCGCTGCACTGGAGCAAAGTATAAGCTACGAACCAGATGATAGGGCCACACTGCCTCTTGAGAATACTAAAACAAGCACCCTCACTGAACTGCCTATTCCTGAATACAGGACAGTTGAGCGTGGCACTTATTCAGAGCAAAATAGAAGATTGAAACCAGATGATAGTGCCACAATGTTTCTTGTGAATATTGAAACAAGTACTCCAACAATGCCTATTCAAAACAGTGCACTTGAGCACAGCACTACAGTGGAGAAAATAACAAGCCAGAAATGGAATGAAAGTACCACACTGCCTCTTGAGAATACTGAAACAAGTGCTGTCACAGCACTCCCTATTCTTGAATACAGTGAGTACAGCACGGTTGAGCACAGTACTGAATCGGAGCAATATACAAGCCAAAAGCCAGATAGTGCCGCTCTGCCTCTTGGAAACAATGAACCAAGTACTGTCACAGTACTGCCTATTCTTGATTACAGCACAATTGAGCAGAGTACTAAATTTGAGCTAAATACTAGCCCAAAGCCCGATAGTGCCACACTGCTTCTTGAGAGTAATGAACCAAGTACTGTCACATTGCTGCCTATTCTTGAATACAGTACAATCAAGCACATCACTGAATTGGAGCAAAATACAAGCCAGAAACCAGATGACAGTGCCACACTGCCTCTTGGGAATGAGGAAACAAGTACATTTACGGAACTGCCCATTCCTCAACACATGACACCTGAGCGCAGTACTAAACTGGTGCAAAATGCAACCCTGGAGCCAGATAGTGCCACACTACCTCTCGAGAATAATGAATTAAGTGCTGTCACAGTACCACCTATTCTTGAATTCAGCGCAGTTGAACAGAGTACTAAATTGGAGCAAAATGCAAGCCAAAAGCCATATAGCACCACACTGCCTTTTGAGAATAATGAACCAAGTACTGTCACAATACTGCCTATTATTCAACATAGCATGATTGAGCACAGTACTGCATGGCAGAAAAACACGAGCCAAAAGCTGGATAACGATGCCATAATGCCGCCTGAGAATACCGAGGCGAGCACTGTCACTGTACTGCCTATTCTTGAATACACTACAGTTGAGCACAGTACTACGTCTGGGAAAGATACAAGGCAAGAATCAGATAGTGCCACAGTACCTCTCGGGAATAATGAAACAACCACTGTCACACCGCTTATTTCCCTAGATTACCCAGAGATCGACAACACATCAGTGGCAACTTTTTCTCTGCAAATTATTGAAACACCAGCCAAGGTGACAAAGATTCCACCCACTTCCATATCTGTTGCCACCTCAACAAGGGCTCATTCTAGTGAACCATTGGTCAATGTAGCAACACAAATTGTCAACATGCCCACAGAGGAAACAACAGTGACGAAAGAAGCCAACGCATCAGAGAGTTACTTTGACACATTTTCTTTGGCACCAACATATGATAAAGCCACAGTGGTGATGCCATCTCAAGGTAGACCACTTCCTGCTACATCACGTACTTCAGTAGCTGTGGTATTAAGTACATCAGATTTGGGAGATACTGCCACTCGTTCCGAAATGCCAGATCAAGATAACGCAACAGAATATGGTGAGGCAAGTTCAACAGGCACAGGCAAAACTGCAGGGGTGACTGCTGACACTGCTACTACACATTTGGTAGGAGAGCAAGTACATCCAGAGTCAATGGATGTTCTTGACTTGAGTGAGTCAACATCAGCTGAACATTTAACACCCTGGGAGGAAACTGATGCTATTCGTCAGCAGCTTGAAACATTGCTGGCTATTGGTGCCATCACTGAAAGCAGCGTGTTAGCGAGCTTCCCATATTCATCAAGTGAGGAACTTGCTAACACCACTTTAGAGGTCACAACTACACTGCCTGCGAATTCTTCTAGTCCAGCAGGAAGCGAACCAGTTTCACCTCGTACTCCAGCTATTGCACCAGAGGGAAAGCTGACATCACCATATGTGGAACAGAGTACCACAGAGAAAGGCAGTGTTTTTACAGCTTTGCCTTCTGAAATGCCAAGGCATGGAAGCACAGAAAACAGCACTTTGTCAGTCTGCGTGCCCTTGGAGCCGCCGCGGAGACCGTCGCATGAGTTTCGGCTGGTATTCAACACCTCGGCCGAGTTCTCCTGGGAGCAGGTCGAGGCCCTCGAAAAACGCATCCAACACTTTTCCAATGACAGTGCTTGCCCACGCCACTTCGCACGCACTGCTTTTACCCTTGGGCCCCCACACGAGCTCAGCTGGACCGACCCTTCAGCCAATGCAAGCTGGTGTGACAATGGAGCCGTAGACACATTGTTGCAGGCCATGCGCACGCACTCAGGTCACCCAACGCCCGAGGTGACGCGAGCTTTCTACCCTGAGTTCAAAGTCGTCGCTGTTGAACTCCATTACCGTGGCGCTTGCACGGACCGCCGAGGTATTGCATCATTCCCTGTTGTAGCCACGGCTATCGGTGCTGTCCTCGCTGCAGCGCTCATTGCGGGCTTGGTCCTCTGGAGGGCACTGCGGCTGGTGCCCTCACGGTCACGCAAGCTCAACGTCACCAGCCAATCCTCTGCTGTGCCTCGTGAGTCGTTCTACCTGAAGCAGCGTCGGCCCGTACTCTTGACGGGGGAGAACAGGGCTGGCAGCACCAATGGCACTCCTAGCAAGAGCCCACACACCAAGCCCAACCCACCATTTGTGGTAGACACGGATTTCTGCTACATCAATCCCAACTTCCTGGAGGTTGTCAAACAATCGCCACCACCTCCACCGCCATACCGAAAGTCGCTCGACAGACGCAGCCTGGACGCCATGCTCCCTGCTCCACCTCCGAGACCACTGCACGGTCCTCACTCAACTCTCGGGAGTCGACGACGAGCCGAGCAGGACGAAGGATCATCGAGTTCGGGTGTTGAGTCAGATGCGCAACCGTCGGGGGAGGCCAAATCCAACGAGAGCAGTTGAAAGTGATGAACGATGGCTTAGTAGCATTCCAGTTTTCTTGTGAATAGTAATTCCATTATTTAAGCCCGTCCTCAGTCAACATATACCCAAGCTTTCTCTTGGCACCAGTTTCATGTGGCTGTCATAAAACAGCAGTGGGAAGTTGGGCAAGTTGTTTCAATATTGTCATCAGAAAAACAGTAGAAAACTTGCAAACATTCCCATAATTGCCTGCTATGCACGTGTGAATGATATCATGAAACAAACTTCATAGCTACCCTCACATAACAATGCAGGTCCACACCCATAGGCACCGGAAAAAGTAAGGACACGAGCAGCTACATTCAATTCACCAGAAATTGTGTAACCACGTATACAGCATAAAAACAAATAGTTCACACATTTTCCACTAGCTTATCGATCCAATGTACAGACAATGTGATTGAATTCGTGGTTTCATAGTTGCTTATACCAGAACACATCCAATCAAGTGTTCACATATTGGGTCTGTGCATGAAATCTCTAAAACAGCACAAGTAATTATTGCTTTCCAATTTTTTTTATTCTGCACAGCCCCTATGTTCTGTGTGAAACTTGCATTTGTGACAAAAGATTAAGCATACTTTAAATAAAAATAAAGAACACCGGTGAGATGTTGCAGAAGACGAATGGCAGTCCTTGTGATATGCTATAGCGGGCATTGTGCGTTGTACCCAAACAGCATCTCAGTCGTTTTGCTGTGAAATTAGAGAGACACACAATGGTTTGCTAACTGCTTTTAGTCTGCTGATATACATGAAAACAACTGTGCTTAGCAGATGTCCAAGCAACTAGACAAACATTCATTCATAGCTAGTTGTAACCTGCTCTGCACTCCATACTAAGAAAGTCGGCTTTATTGAAGGAAAACATCACCTCATATACTGTCTGTTCTGTTTAGTGTCTTAAGTTAATCTAAATGAAACATCTGATTTTGCGTGCTTTTGTTATGTAACTTCATTTGTGCTATGAGCTCTGTACTGCTGCGGGGAAATTTTGTACAACTTTCACTGCCATTATAAGTCTGTGATTGGGTTGTCAACTTTTGTACTGACTGTTGCATGTGCCAGGCATACTCAAAGCAATAACTTGTAGCAGCAATTCAGTTGATGCAAGAAATTATTAGTGCTCCTGTTGTCCGTTATCCTGTGTCCATTGTGTTAAGGATATGGTTATTAGCATAGCCCACACAAATACCCACAATGTGAAATGTTTCTTGACACAATGTAAAGGAAAAAATGCTCGAACAACACAGCGATTGCATTACACGGGGCATGCAAGAAGTTAATTAAAACAGCAAACTTGGGGTGAAATACAGAATGGCATATTGCTGTTGCATTGAATGATTGCTCTGCTGCTGTAAAATACCTGTTTTACATGCCACTACCACACAGAATGTGCTCTTGTGATGGATGAAACAGTCAAGTAATTCACAGACACCTAATGTAAAATTCAGAATAATTAATACAAAATGTTACTTCCAGCATGCGGCACCTGTTCAGGTTATATGGCATGCAAGCTGTGTGACATGACCTATCTACCAGTCCATTGTACATGTGCTTTTGGTATCGTGTGGCCTTGCCATGTGCTTTGCCACAAATGCTGAAACTGTAATGTGTGCACACAACCTTGGTTGGGAGGGAGCACTTTTGATTATCTGTAGAAGACTTTATGGCACGAAGATGGTTTGTTTTCATTCTTATTTGGTTGTGTTTGTCCCATGAATTTAGAAAGCTGTGCAATGTGCTCACTTTCATAGAGCATTCAACAAAGGCTTTGTGTAAAATTGTGTTCATCTCATAACACTGTTCAAATCACAGACGTGCTCAAGTGTGATTTGGCAGTGAAGGTTCTGCATCTGTTAGATGACACAACTGCTCTGATTTGCAATCACTTTTTTGCTTTATGTAGCATACGTTGTAGACTTTCATAGACTACCATCTCCAGAGATCACCAAAAGCTCTTTTCTTGTGTGTACATAGAAAGTCATCATGATGATGACACACTAGACCATGAAGCCAGTCTTCACGCAACTTTCCAGGCAAATAACACATTTGAGTCGCACGCCTGTGTATCCTGCTTTCAGCATGTGGCAACCCCCAATAAGAAATATTTCCGTGAAAGTGAGATGGCGAGTCAACACGGTTGTAAATTCACTGGCTGGCATATACTAGGCGCTGCTGTAGATGCTGTACTGACGACTATGCATTCCAGAGCTTCTTTATTTCCATTAACTAGTCCCTGTGCTTGTACTAGCAGAAGTAATGTTATTTATTGAAATGTCTCAGAAAATATGTGTTGTGTAATTGTGGCCTGAATGTAATTGAATAAATATTTGTATATGTAGAACACTTTGGTTGAGTTCTTTCCAATATATGTTATGCTAGAAGCCTCTTCACATGTTTTTGCACTTTTCAAACAGGCGACTTAAATGAGCAACACTAAAGAGCAACTTTGAGGTTCTACTGTTCTTGGCCATCTAAAAGCTATGTGCAACTCCTCTTTTCGTTTGTGTCACGCATGCATCCTGCATGTTCGTGCACGCACAGTGAATCAAGTCCTCCATTTTCTAACATCTCTCGCAGACATGCAGAAACCAAAAGAAACTACTAGCATTATCTGTTACACTTGTTGTAGACTCTTCCTAAATGGAAATATCCTATGTAGAACTGCTGTTTTGTTTCACAGGAGCTTCGTTTACTTGAGAAGTAAAAAGGGGTGCAAAAGCCAAATACGAAACCAATTATATTCAAGACAGTTGTTCTGTCTAGACAGCAATCCTGTTCAAACAGAACTGCTTTTAATATAATTGGCTTTTTATTTGAATTCTGTACCCCTATTCATCGCGCAGTAAACAGAACTCCTGTAAACAGAGCAGCAGTTCTGTTTTCTGCATCCGCTGTACTCAAAGCAACACCGGCTCTTGCAGTGTGTTCAAACTGGACGTAAGACTGTGGGGTGGAAGAAGCAGTACACTAACAGCAATGCTTGTAAAGCAGAATGCTGCAGATGTCAGGCGTCATTGTTTTGAGCATCTATCTGGCACAGTGATTGACAAAAAATCTGGGGTCTAAGCTCAGTACCATTACCATGCACTTGCTGTTTCAGGCACAAGGACTGTGGTAAGAAAAGACAATTAGTATTCGAAATGTACTCAAGTTTTGTTTATGCACCGGTTACAGATGGAGAGACAAGTAGATCCTGCATGTCTCCTGCTGTAGTTGCAATATTGCAATACACATTGTAATACACTCGAACCCCTTTAAAGAAACACTGATATAAAAGACAAATGGTATAAGAGACACCAGTGTGTGTACAGTAAAATACCGGTTGATAGGGAAATGAATACATGGTACCCTGCTTATAAAAGACATCTCATATAAAAAACAAGAATTGTTGCCAAGAGCATGCCTCTTACAAAGAGGTTCAACTCTATCTTGTTTGGCCAGCAGCTATGTACTTGGCATACAGGAACACTTATTTGACCAACAGGAAGAGTAATTCTAGGTCAGTGGTCCAAAATAATGGCAGCTGCTCATCAATAGCAGATGTTGCTGGAGCATTGGCTGGCACATCCGCGGCATTGACGCACTTGTAGTTAAGTCTTGTCACTATTCTCAGTCACCAACTGTTGAGGCATGTGGCCGAGAGTGAAGAGACCTTTTCATCGTGAGTTCCACTCAGACAACTGGTTTTGACGGTGGTCTGAGATTAGGAAAGACATTAATTTACGACACATGACGCTTCAAGGAGTTTCACTAAGGGACAGTGCCAAAATGAGAAGCCACTCACTTTACATGGGCACACAATGCCTAGTGCCAGGCAGGTCAGAGTACCTCTTTCCGCATCAGAAAAACCAGTGGGTACACGTCAATACTGGGAAAGAAAGTGACATGGCCAACACCTTTTGTGTTGGAGCTGTATCATCGCTGCAGTTACAACTGTCTTTTATTTTCTTCGTCTCCCTCAGGTACCACTTATTCACCACCTAACAGCCATACGTAATCTGGCTTAGTAGTACAGTAAGCTGAAGGAAGCTTATTACTAACATTGCCCTTGTCCTATTTTTTTTGTCAGAAGTGACCACCAACATATGAGTCGTACTTACAGCAGCACTAGTACCACACACCTAAATGAAGCACGAAAACAGTGTGAAGGGTCCTTCTTCACCAGGAGACATTGCGTGAACGAACTAAATAGACGTTCCAACTTTCAGAAATCGCTGAACAAACAAACAGTAAGTGCCTTCATTCATGCCTCTTTCAGCAACGTGACACTTACTGCTGGTGGTTACATGAAGAACGTCAGAAGTGGTTACGACGCTTTAGACTTTTTTTTTTCACAATACTGCATAAGCATAGCTGCTGTGACGTCATCTATTATGTAGGAAGATAAACGAGAGAAAGCTGGGAGGTTAACCAGGCGCATTCCCGGTTGGCTACCCTACGTTGGTGGAATGGCAAAGGGGAGTATAGAGAGAAAGAGAGGAGTAACTGGCACTTCTGGCTATCAGTACTTGCAAGCAACAAATACTGCAACAAGGCAAAACTCCAAATAACAGGCATCGTTACTTACATGTGGCGAGGCAGCAGGTCGCAGCACCTTCGCCCTTGATGACTGTCAATCTAGCAAACACAGTTGTGACAGAGTCGTTACAGAATGCTGGTTCAGATACTATGTTGCCAAAACACCGCTGACCACCATTACTTAATCTTATGACTACAGTATCAGTCATACAGGAGGTTGTGAGTTACTCGCTAACCGCAGATCAACATCAAAGAGCGAGTGACTGGCATCAGACAACATGTGAAAAATCCCCATCAAGTCAGGGTGTCATTAGCATGGTTCTGCTGAATAATTTCTTGATATCTTTGTTCACAGATGTACAAGAGGTATATGTGAGCAATTTTTGTGACACTTAAGACATACGTGGTGCTGAGTCACTCCAACAAGTTTCCATTCACCAGAAGGATGCATGAATAAAGTTTTTATGGATTTTTTTTTTCCTGCAGAAGCAAGGTCTGTTTAGCACACACTTTGAAAACTTTTCAGCACACTGTTCACGTGTACAAAAGAAAAAAAGTTGTTAATGCAGGCTTTCAAACACAACACACAGCAGTTAAAAAAATTAAGCTAACGGTAAATAATGAGGTTGTGTTTTAGTCAGCTGTATGCACACCCATAAATGCTCCTTTAAAGCATAAAATCTAGAGATAAAATACCAACTTGGCAATTGCATTTATCTCCCGTAAAAAAAGAGAAGTGGCAGAGTAATGAAAAAAAAATGAAATAATTTTTTGTGAACTAAACGTATCAGCAAGCAGCATAGCAGTAGCTTACTTACATAAAATGTGACCAAATTTTTAAAACGAATGTTAAACAAATCCAACAAAATTTACATAAAGAATCTTTCCAACACCTTCTCCAACTGATCATCGAATCACTTCCATAAAGGAGTTAATTGACTTAGGAAACAAGCACAGTGAAAAGTTTTTAGAGCCCGTGAAGTAGAGTGGAGTAACGGGCAAGCGCTTTCCTTTCATGCCAGCGAGCGTGCTGATGACAAGAGGCATTTTAAGGAGCTATGTCTGCTTGTTTGCCAGCGCAAGTCATGAAACTGGGCGCTTTTTTTTTGCACTTCAGACGCATGGCTTACTTCCATCGCGATTGCAATTGAGTGTGCACGTACACCGAAGCATCCTCCCGCAGTCCCCTCATCTATGCAGCTCGCGATGCTCAAATCAGCTAATAGGCCCAGGCTTTTGTTTTATGATGCTATCATTTTGGATTACAGCATCACTAGTCAAGAGAAAGGCGAGGAACTTCTAGCTGACCAAAATGCACTAGTAAATTTCAGGCACTGCGCAGTGCTACGATGTTTGACCCGCATGTTCATGGAAACTTTGACTACCCATCAGCAGCGTTTTCTAGCCATGCTCAAATAGTGTTGCATTGCCCTTTTAAGTTATGTATCGCCGATCGCATTGACACATTAGCTAATGCACTTTTGGAATAGAATGCAATAGCTTCGCATGAATTGTGCAATATCTTTTTCTAGTTACAAAAGCCCAAATTTTCAATACACACAGCTGGCTTAGTCCCTCCGGTTGAAACTTGTCTGAAGGACAGCTGAATGTGTATGCATTTGTGTTACAATGCTACTACGACTGCGTAGAATGTTGAAATGATTTAGACAAGAGCCCAATATTTAAATAGGGGGCTGTCGCTTAAAATACAGGCTGACACTTGAAAGGGACAATCCTGGTTTGGTTTGTATCGAGCATTTGAGAAGGCAAACATGTTTATTCGAGATACAACCATCTGACATATGACATGTCTGCACAACTTATATTCTTTTATGACGAATTAGCCGACCTATGTTGCCTCTTATCCCACAGTTGTCAGAGGTCAAACATTATATTTTTTGTGCATCTTAAAAATTACAAGTCTTTGTTTTGAGTATAGAGGGTGCTCCAGCTAACTTAAGCCCGAGTTTTCAAATATGCTGACGGACTGTACAACTATGCAAACATTATATCACAACTGCATGGAGTAGGTTGCACTATTTTTTGTGTTCTGAATTTCAATAACACGGCAAGATGAAATAAAAAACTTTTGAAGCAATGAAGCTAAGCTAAAATTTTAATTAAAAATTTGTGGGTTGGTTTGCAAGACATCCAATGAGACGATTCTAAACTTAATTTCCATTACAATTAGTGTTTTTCTACTTACTGCAGGTGCCCATTACCACATGAAAATCACCACATGACATGCTGTTGACACAACATGACTGCAGTCATTCCTAATGTTCCGCAACTTCAGAGTTTCTACTTGATCCGCTGTGTTCTATCTTGATGCTTTAGTCGAAGTAATCACATTTTATCCAAGCTCAATCAAGGGTGCCAAGGATGTGGAAAATTAAGTTGTATCAAAACAAAGCTAAATATGTGCACAGGTGCACCACACCGATTAAAACTTGTCAGGAAGCATGGCTTCTATGGGCTAGCATGTATAATACTCACAGGATTTGAATGTCACATCAAATTTTTTAGTACATTTACAACTGGTAAGCAAGACTGCTCAAGATACTCGTGTCATGTCACGACAAATCTGCTTTCTAAAGATGTGACTGGCTCTGATCTATGTGTTCGAGTAGAAATTAGGACAAAATGACTTGAACAGTGCATATGGAAACGAAAGTATGCACGTTGCTTAACCCTAAATTTTCCAGTTTCCATCTGTGAGTACTGTACATACAGGAATGTATTCCTAGTTAGGCAGGTTCACACTATAGTACACCAATGCATGCTTACTCATTTTGTTGCCAGTCATGAAAACAGCATTAATGAGTGACAAAGGCTCCCAGTTGGCACGAGATATAAACATGAGTGAGTCATTATCTCTACTACAAATTAAAATTTGGCGATGCTAATTTTGAAGGGATAAAAGTTTGCAATAGGATTTTGAGATGCACGAGCCTTATAATTTATGGACATGTGTGTGGTAAAGTAATGAGGACACGAGCGTGAGTAAATGCCAGCAAGCCTAAGTACCAGTCTATAAATGAGAGTGTCGATGAGTACGGGTGCAGTGGTGCAACAGATAAATCGCTTATTGTGGTACAGGTACAGCAGCTCCTGGACCAGCTGCTCCTGGACCAGCTCCTGGACCATATGTAGCAGAAAATTTCGGACAAACAGTTGACAAGTTATACAATACTATCTCTGCACCTTTTAAATAACTTCACACATTACTGAGATATAAAAGGCGCATAAAGTTGCATGGAGGGTTTCAAAATGAAATTTAAGAAAGCCATGTGAAGTAATGAGCATCACATGGTAGTGTGTTTAGGTGACAGCAGTAGGCTTGTGCAGATATTCGAATGAATATCAAAGTATTTGAATTCACTTCGATCCGAATATAAATTATTGAAAATTTGGAAGTATTCCAAATGAACGAATAGATGTATATTACTCTGCATGTAACCCTTGTAAAAGTGGTTTCACCGCATTGGAGGGGTGCTAAGCCATGAAAGCATCTATTTATATTAGTTAGCAATACTAATTAAGTAAAGCAAGCAAAATCACAGGGGTAGTAGGTCGCTTACGCTACATTCTTCCCACATGTGTTAAACTCTTACTATATAATTCACTTCTTCAACCACATTTAAACTATTCTCGAGTAGTATGGGGTAACACTACACACACTAATCTAGAATGTATTTTCATGTTACAAAAAAAGTCTCTCCGGCATGCATACTACGCTTCTTACACAGCATCGACAATAACTTTCTTTAAGGATTCGGGCGTGATCCCTGCACATAATCTGTACCAATATCGTTTGAGTCACATATACAGACAAGAGCACTATCAGAACCTAAACAACTTATGCAATCTTGTCCAACTTCAAAGAAAAGCTCCAAGTTACGGTACCAGGCACTTAGAGGAGTGGTTAGTACCAACACCGCGTTCAAACTACGGAAAACAAATGCTCCACTGCACAATACCTACACTACTAAAGAGCGATAAATCGATACAGTTTGATCTTCTTACGGCCCCTTTCAAAGATCTTAAAAGGATGCATGTGGTTTCGGCATAGATTCATGTGCAATACTGACACGTTTTTGATTTTGTTGCCATTTAAGAGGAAAGTGTGGGATGAAATATGTTAAAGCACTAGCATGCACCTGTATGTATATATGCAAGTGTGTGTGTGGTTTTGTGTTTGTATATTTATGTAAAAGTGCAGGAGTATATATGTGTTTATATTAATAAGTAATATGTTTGTGTGTAATATTGCCGCACTGCCAAATACATAGGGTTGTAGGCTAGTCAAGCTGTCCAGAGACAGCTTTTTTCTACAATCCCCCCATCTTTATCTCACAAAAATGGCAAATAAACTTATTATTATTAGTACGATGTAAAAAAAATTTGCGTGTAACGTCCCGTAAAAGTGGATTCACTGCAATGAAGGTGTGCTAAGCCGTGAAAACACCTAATTATGGGAAATCCCACTATTTATGGGAAAGCCCCACTTCAAGGTTAAATGAACATATCACCCTAACATTGTTTCATCATGTTTGACATTTAAAAGCTTGTTCTACCCGCTTATGTGCTCCAAGTTCTAGGGGGTTTTGAGGCTGCTCAGTCCAGAACCCCGCAGGGAAGACACGGAGCTAGACCATGAACCTTCTTTATTTCTCTATGCCTCGGCTGCAACTGCCCGCTGCCAGCTGCTCAGTGGGCCCCCGAGCCCACTTGCAATCCTCGTCCTCCTCTTCTACCTCCGATCGGCACGCTCACGGTCGCTGCTGCCATAAGTATAGTAAACATTAAAAACTAACATATTTTATAGGTAATTACTTGAATTCTATCAAAAGTGAAATCCTGCTACTATTCAAAGGTGTTTCCACTTTTTTTAACAAAAAAAAATGGCATTTGTACAGGCCTTGTTTGAGTTTTTAATTAAAAATATATACAATGTGCAGGTTAGTTAGGTAATGACAAATATGCCCATTTTCCTTTACAACGTTCGATATATACTATTCGAATTTGACTCAAAATTTGACAAAAATCACTATTCGCTTCGTATTGGCTTCAAACATAAAATTCACTATTTGCACAAGCCTAGACAGCAGTGATAGCAGAACCACAGCGTATGCTTGAATACCAGAACCTCACTCAGTATGCAACATCATCGCATGTTTTTACTTGACTCGACAGATTGCAGGCTTGCAAGTGCTTTTAATAGCCTCTAATAGGTCCCTTTCAAGTACACTGAATACCTGTGAAAAATGATGCATTCAACCCTTCCAACCTTTGGAGTTAGGCTATGTTCAGAATCATTTTGTTGACTTGACACGTCTCTTTCAATCGTTCAGAAGTGATGCTGCATTTGATCAATTCTGCCTCCGGACTTATTGACTTGGGTGTTTGGGCACTTACAGGCCTGGAACTGCATGCTCCACTTTACGGCTCTCACACTTCAATTGGCAGAAACACAGCTCATAACTTCTAACAATAATCTACAATGCAGCACTATTTCTTTTCAAAATCTGTGCCCCGGAAATTCCAGGAAGGAGTCTTGGGAACAGGCACGCAGCAACTTTAGCAGTGCTTTGCAATAGTATCTGTTTTTAGAAATTTGGGGCAAATTTAGCATTCATTCCATCACCACAGAACCAGGAGAAACGCAACTCTCTGGGAGTGAGTACACGGCCTGCAAAACATTGGTGGCTTGTACCTCATCCTGTTGACTTAGCACATAAAACAATGTCGTGAGTCCTGTTTTTTTTTTTTTTTATTGCGATAAAGACTTGCCTTTAAGGCATATTTTTGTGTTAAATGAGTGCTGTTAGGCCGGTGTTGTGTATGAAGTGAAGTAGTGTCTTGTGGAATCTTTTTTCATGTATCCAGCGGTTGTAACTGGCTGTGTCGCTGTAGCGAAGGCCAGCTTGAGCGAGGTGATGGGAGCGTTCTGGCTACAACTCTTTACATGTCCATAGTCCTAGTTAAACATTTCGAAATGAAAATTTGCATGCAACATGATGCTCAAAATAGAAGCTTGGTTGTTTATTTCCCCATGCTTATTGTGCACTTTTGGCCCTTTAGCTCTTTTACACTGCACAGGTTACAGTGTCTCGGTTGATCAATCTGTCACTACACTGCGCAGAACTTCTAAAACAAAGAAAGTATACACTGCATTGAAAACATAAGACTCTCAGGAGGGGTGCTGCAAACTTGTGACTGTGGTCTGTCGATCTGAACTGTCAAGTTTGAAATATGAGCATGCCAATTTGTACTTTCTGCACAGCGGTGGCACTGCACATAAGGCAGCAAAACCACTACTACTCACAACTGAACTGTTTTGATTTGTTTATTACAGCTCTCTCCCTCCGATTTCTTCGGGATATGCAGATCCCTCAGCATCACAAAGGTTCTCCACTCTACAAGCCACCATTTGTGCCAAACGTTCGGTAACGAACTCTCGGCAGGCAGTTTCCCAGGCGTGGCACACACTCTAAAGCTGCTCGTTGTACAGCGCGTCCGATGTTGCAATGAACCTTGCCAGGACTTGAGAACACAACACAGGATGAGGAGGAAATGGAATTAAAATATACAGCACACAAGCAACACTAATTAAAAGCAGTAGTCTGTGTTCTTCCCTTTTAGTCTTCTCCAGAAGTTCTTTTTTTTTATTGTTGTTGTTGCACTTTACATTTCCCTACCATAAGTTTTTTTTTTTTTTTCCTATGTTACAACACTCGCTGTACACAGATCACAGAGTTAAAGAGCAGTGCTCCACTGCACCCAGTGTGACAAGCAATGTCTCTGCACACACCGGTACAGACACAATCCCAGCATTGTTCTGGCAATGACATCCTTTCCTCAACTTGCACAGACGGGCAGAACGTATAGACGGTGCACTTGAGCACACACCAACTTGAGATGCACACTGCAGCCCTGCTTGTGTCCTCACTCGCTGCTCCAGTTTTATACGCCACTTCGCAGCTTCAATTGGCCAACGTGCGATTGTTGGTGGACTTCTTGTTTCGATGCCATCAACCCCTCACCACAAACTCAAAAAGTGAGCCATGTGCTATGCACGCCCATGCGTGGTGTCACACTGTCGGCTTGGCAAAGAACTCCGGTCGAAGCAGGTTCCACGCAACAGACATTTTCCAAAGCCTATCCAACCTGTTCACGTCGAGAGGCTCGTTGAGCACGAGGGAGCAACGTTTTCCACGTTGAGGACAACATGCTTCAGAAGTTGCCCGTCGTGGAGAAAAAAGGAAATGCACCAAACTGGCTGGGCGTCTTCGGTGAGGCGCACACGTAGAGGAAGTCTTCGGACTGCAGGTGGGTTCGGTTCAGCGTGGGTTCTGAAGTGCTCTGGTGGATCTTGGGTAGTGACCGCATTAGTGACTCTAGTGAGGCCAACATCTAAGGAAGAATAAAAGAAGCAACGTCAGAATTGGGGCACTACACGAATAACAAAAGAAAGATTGTGATGAGATTGCCTCATAACTTAACGCTCTGTGATGTCAATATTGCCAGCAAATGTTCAGTTCACACGTAACAGTAAGTATATTGAAATAATTTTTCTTCCACAATTCTGTTTCAACACATGGGCTGCCTCATGAAAGAAATGCTTGAGATGAGTCATGAGAAAGGCAATTTTTTAATGGCAACATTAGTTTGTGTTTTGATTACAACTCCCCTCCTCCTATCTATTTCACTGTCCCAACAGCCCTTGCAGGAAACAACTTTCATAACTGCAGCCTGCTAGCTGAAGTGAGCTTGAGGTCATATTGTATACCTTATTCCCTCGCTTAATGTATGCCCTTTTCTGTTACCCCCAGAAACTCCACACATAGTATGCTGTTATGTCAGTGAAAGTGCGTGAGTGCTAACAACAAATGTGGCTCAAGCTAAGATCAAACAAGCCAACCATCTTTGCCAAGTAAGAAGTACATAAGGAGGGGGGCTATAATTTCAAGGTTATGGGATTGGATCTCACCAAAGAAAAGGGTGTTCTTGTCCACTTCATTTCAATTTATGTAATAATTACTACACTATAATTGAAAACACAATGAATGTCCCTGTTGCTTTCCTTGGCCTAATGGTACAATGAACTTTTTGGTTTTACATGACACATATGCGCACATGGTATGTGAGCATATATGTACGAGGCCCGCGTCCCTTTGGTGAACTGCTGATGAGTGGCCATCTGTGTGACGTCTCATGCTTGGTATGTGAACGACGCACCGAAACCTTCGTCAATGGCCCTCTGGCGTTCGCAAACTGTCCTACACAACTTTTGTTTACCCACAACTTGAATAAACTAGTCAGTTTGGTCCCTGTCCACTCGTTATCAAATTAATGTGCTTGAAGCAATTCAGAAAAGAGCTGCCCATTAACTTTCAAGCATCTACTGCAACTATTCCAGTGTGACTCAGATTAAACTCAACAATTCACCAGAAACATTATATGTTCATCATCAAGTGTCGTTGTTATGTCTGTTTCATAAGTACGTCTCCAGTAACAAAACATCATTGTTACAACTAAACGCCCCCTCCTCACATCTCCCAGGTTACATATTCATGTCAGCCCCGCTGCGGTGGTCTAGTGGTTAAGGTACTCGGCTGCTGACCCGCAGGTCGCGGGTTCAAATCCCGGCTGCGGCGGCTGCATTTCCGATGGAGGCAGAAATGTTGTAGGCCCGTAAAGAACCCCAGGTGGTCGAAATTTCCGGAGCCCTCCACTACGGCGTCTCTCATAATCATATGGTGGTTTTGGGACGTTAAACCCCACAAATCAAACATATTCATGTCAGCTTCACCCGTAACTTTGGTAATACGAACACGTTTAACACATCAGCACTACCGCAAACAATCTGCATGTAGAATGATCTTCCCGATGATATCGCCTCTGATAGCAACCCTAATCCGTTTCATGACTCAATGCACCGTTTTTTTTTTTTGCAAAGTACTTTGTCGTTATTAATGTGCACTGTAACATGTGACTCCACTCCCACTGGACGGATTCTTAAAATTTTTGCGGCATCGAATTCGTGAGGCAATAAGCTCTTCCAGTGAATTCCTTCCATGGTTACTTGAAAAAGTGTTTCAGGGCCCCTTTAACGCATTTTGTTCGACAGGTGTCACGACAAAAACGAACCCATTCTGCGATTTGTAGGCGCATTTGGGATGCCTCAAACTATGCCAAAAAAGGCCAGGATAGTGCAGCCCTCGCCGCTAAAAACACACAGGAACTTTCAAACAGCTCTAAAAATGGACAACTCTATCCATCTAGTGGAAAACATATCATGCCTTTCCAGAGGTGTTGATCAAGCAAACAGCAAACGCTAGATAATGTGCTGCCATCTGTGAGGCACTGTACTTTTTAATGCCTCCGAGATGGCAAGCACACAGCCTGTATCTTGGAGGCCATGTGACTCTTGCTTTAGATTAAAAACCTGTATGTACCATTTGCGCAAGCACGCTGGTACAATCTACTGTGTGCATGGGTGTGTGTGTGTATGTAACAAAACATATTAATAAGTATGCACTTAGCGGTTGAAGGGCGCACTGGGGGCCGGATTTCGCTATCGCATTCAACTCTTAAAGGTGAAGCTTAAGGGTCTCCCATTTTTTTTTTTTCAGTAAATAAATAGATAAATACTATGTCACAATCTTGTGTTAATTCAGTCCTGGTCTATGTTACACACAGAAAATGAGAAGCTCCCCTAACAGCCTCAACATGTTGCGAATCTCAGTGCACGCATGCTGACCTCTGCTGTATGTAGTAAAATGCACAATGCTGGTCGGATCCTGTTCCTCGTCTTTTATGTCCTGTTTTACATATTTAAGATCACTATGTTCAAATGTGCAGTTTCATCTAATTCAAGAAAAGTTTAGAACCCTGACAAGTGGCTATTGTGGAAAAGAAAAGACTGCATGGATAGCTGAAAATTTAGTTGTCAATGGTGACGGTGCACCCACCTGTCGAAAGAGGGGTCGCTCATCTCGGTTGAACTTGATGCAGTCCTCGGTAAAACGAATCAGAGCCTTTGGCGTGTCCTTGCGAGCTATGCTCAGGTCTGGACGCAACAGGCCGTGACCCACCATGAACAGGATCTGCAGAGCACAGGCACCTCATCAGAAATGCAAAGCTCAATCTATCTAAATCTGCACTGTACCTGGTCCTTGTTGTTGATGTGGGAGTAAGGCAGCTGGCCAGTGATGAGCTCGTATAACACAATGCCAAAGGCATACACGTCCGACTGGAATGAGTATGGGTTTGGGTCCTTCATGCGGATCACTTCGGGAGCCTGCACAATCGTGACAGAAAAAGTTGTATGGTGAAAGTAACGACAAACATAACACTGACCCATGTAGAAGTGCTTTCTTATTCGAATGCAATTCTCACATTGACACATTTGCAAACAGTGCAGATCAAACGAATTAGGAAAAAATTAATTCCAAGGTTTCCGACCACAATTCCATTACAAGGCAAGCAACAGTGGAGGGGCACTGGACTACTTTGAAGCGCTTCTAACGCAGTAACTGCAGCCTGCTTTTTGTTTGTTTGCTTTTCAGTGCGGAGTGACCCACCAGTATGCCATTGGGCAAGGTACATTGTTACTCACCAGTGGGAGGCGCAAATATGCCCCCATCTTCTGCTCTAACAAATGGCGCTACCAACTCTGTAGCGGCCGTTTGGTGTATTGATTTGAAAGATGCAAAGCTGTTTCCTGCCTTCTTTGCATGAATCGATGTTAAAGTACAACGTTCTTGCCACAAAAGAAACACAAAATCAATTTCTGTGATAAGCTGGTTTTTTTCCTTGGTGCTGCAATTTATTTTGTGCCTGTACAAGGCCCAAGCCTCCATTAGGCATGCTGAAAAGCTCTGGAGCAGCAGGGAAAACTTCTACACTTAGTGCAACGACACCTATTCCATAAACTGCTGAAGAAGTTTGCAAGCAACACAATGGAGGAAAAGGATCACCACTCGGTTCGTTAGCAACGATCACGCCACCTCGCGTCCCATGATAGACAATATACATTAGTTGCAATTTCAAAATTCAGCCTATAGCACAAGATGGAGAGCTCCTCCCGCTCATGGGTCACCGGTGGGTCATAGCACTTAACATGAGACAAGTATTCTCCTGGGCGTGTGTATCCTCCTGCAACAGAAAATCATACCTCCGCATCCAAGAGTCATATTGCAAGCAGATGAATGCAGCACACAAACTCACAGCCACATAAGGGAGGCGCGTAGGCACAGGCTATGACCCACCGGTGACCCACAATGCAGTGAACATGCTAATGTCCACAAAACTAAGTGAACGAAGCCTAGGCTGGGATTGAATGTATGTCATGGAGTTAGAGCCCAGCAGTGGTACTACATGTTTAGTGACTGCTTTGAGAACAGTCTTTTGTCGGCTCGAAAGATCATAATCAATGGTGAATGGACAGCAGATGGCTAAGCGGAGTTGGCCTGTGATGAAAGTTGGCCAATAAGCAATCACTTCCAGCTTGAATGAAGGAGCAAAGCTTCAAAGTCACGGATGCTAAAGTTCAATGCCCAGCCTCCAGACCAGAGTTTAAAAACCTCGACAAGATGGATGTGAGCCTGCCCTCTCCACTGTGGCCTAAAGCAAGTGCTGCTGCTGATTTTCTTGATGCTCGCATGAGAAAGCAATCCACCGGCCTTAAAAGCAGACCAAATAAGCCAAGCAAGAGGGTCTTGCAGGGTGTCCCAACCAGATGAAAGGGCCTAACCTGTTCGAAGCTCTCCGAATTATTATTTGAAAATACTGAAGTTCAAAGAGTGCATGAGAGGGTACGTGTATCTAGCACGAAATTAACACTTTTAGGAAGCAAAGAGAAATACAAAAACACAGAAAATGATGCAAGGGTGCATTAACAACGGCTGGTTGTTAATGTACCCTTGCATCAGACATTCCAGAAGTCTAGTGTACATGTAATGGCAGTATGAAAGAACAGCCGAGCACCGTTGCTGCTGATCTACCGAGGCGAAGAACTATTTCAGGTTCTGTTCATGACAACTGCAAGCTGAGAACTGTTCAGCAAAGGTAACTGACAAGTGCTGCAGGTTGGGCAGACTAAAAAAATTATAATGCATGAAATACCTAAAATGTGAAAGACAGACACAAAAAGATGTAGATGGGACAGGTACTATTCTCAAATTCAATTTAATTGAAAACCTATGTGAATGTATACCAAGTCAAGACAGCTTGCAAAAAATGCTGAAGGATATGCCATGGAAGACCAACATGGGAACCCCTGTGTCCTTGCAAGTGGTCAACACCACAACTAATGGTGAATTATGCAGCCTCACCACTGCAAATGAATTGCATTCACATGAGAAAAGGATTTGTTACATCTTTCCAAGGCCATGGAAGAACCACTGAACGGAGGACTGAAGAGAGGACAAGATTTTGGGAATACCCTTGTTTGAATATATTACGAGGGACAGTCATTCTGGCTTTGAAATGCTGTGGATGAACTTTGAAACAAAGATTGAAGCTACAGCAGTAACATTGCAGCAAAATGAGACAACAAAGAGTGCAACCAGAACCATACCAAAGCAATGTTCTCTTCTGCTTTCACCCTAAGGGCGTATGTGCCACAGGTGGCACATACATGATGTCATGGGGCTATACTTAAAGGTCATGTAGACTCACTGTTACAACAAGGCAGCCCCCGTCAACTATGTTGATCTGGCTGGCTGTACAGCTACATTTGTAAAACCTTCCTCTCATTACCTTTCAACTCTGAGACTCTGTCTGGCTGCTACGCATTAAAGTCCAAGTCCAGTCATATCTGCGGGCTACCACAGACTGCGGTCATCGAACACCCTTGTGGCTTCGCAATAACAGCATCAGCCACGAGATATGCTACTAGTATTGTTACAGCATGGGACGGCAAGCTGCATGACGAAGCTGTGTGATGCAATTCTGTAAGACATACCCAACATCACTTTAAGGCAGTTACGAGACTGACTAGCATCAGTCGCTCTGGCTAAATTAGCGGCTGACATTTTCCAGTCACATCATCTTATAAGCACAGTTGTACGCTAGGAAAGAGGTGCTGCATTTTCTAATGTGATGTGATTAAATATCACCAAGGCTGTGGCATCTAGTTATAAGCAAGCAGCACAAGGAATGAGAGGGTAATAGAGAAGTAGTCAGTGCAGGCCTTAGCACAGCAGCTAAGCTAGCAAGTAAAGAAGTACGTAGTGTACAACTGTAGCGGCGCATGGTGCCTTCTATTGCAGTGGCTGCTGGCTCTACTAGAACGAACCTAGCACTGTGTTGAAAGTGACAAACGACAGCTCTTAACCAGATGACAATACTATTACCATGACCGGCTTAAGCCAGGAGTGATGTGGCCAAAGCATCTAGGATGTAGGTGCAGTGCGATGTTGGGGATGAAAACAAAAATGACCTTTTGTATAACCCGTTTTTTTTTTTTTTATTGCTCCAATGATGATGAAGTGGAATCTGTGCTACCACTAGATGCTAAAATAACAAGTACTCCACCTTAAAATCAATATGCAGCTTGATACATCACCACATAAATTTACAAAGATGTGCACAAAGTACCCGTACCTGGTATAATCACAAACAGCACCTCAAAGTTTCTATTTGTTCTGAAGATTTAAAATTTCATTAATTACAAGTTTACAAAAAATTACCATGAGAGCTCTTTTTTTTTTTTTTCAGAAGAAGTATGACTTTGCTAAGGATTAAGAAAACTGCAATAACAAGTTATACACTCATTTCTTTTTTCAACATATATGCCAGAGACAACAAATTTATAGGCAAAATATGTCTTGTTTCTATACTACCTCCTTTTCATGATGGCAGCAGGATTCATGCAAGAATGCATGTCCAAGAAATCTCATGCTCTTTGCATTGCACAGCAGAGTATGCTGCTGATTCACACTCACCATCCACAGGATAGACCCAGTTGGCTGGCTGAATGGTTGGGAGCCACTCCATCGCGCCTTCACTGTGGCTAGGCCAAAATCACCAATCTTCACAGTCAGGTCATCATGGAGGAATATGTCTAAACACAAACGGGTCAAGGCACAACAACTGCTTAGATGTGCAACCAACACTGCACATGGAGGCATATTCACTCAGCAAAACCCCGGTGACAGAGGCAGCAAACAAGTAACTCGCAACTTGCACTAACAGCGTTGCAATCAGCTGTGATTGTGCAACTTAAAATAAACCAATGAACATATTCTTTGGATGAGCAATTTTCAGAGACTGCACATGGAGGCATATTCACTCAGCAAAACCCCAGTGACAGAGGCAGCAAACAAGTAACTCGCAACTTGCACTAACAGCGTTGCAATCAGCTGTGATTGTGCAACTTAAAATAAACCAATGAACATATTCTTTGGATGAGCATCAGAGAGAGTTCTTATTGTTCATGCTTTCTTGTCCCAAAATTCAACTTCCAAGATAGATACACCACTGCTGAAAATTTGTACATTTGCATTAGATCTGTGCAGTTTGAATCGAATATATTTAAAATACTTCTCAAATATTTTTTCTAAGAGAAACTGCCGAAAAAAAGGTAGGAGGGGATTTCTAAGCATTATCTTATGAGATAGCAATGCGAAAGTGTTTCTTTTTGCTAGGTTGATGAAGCGTTGGATGGGTGGTGCATTATCAAAAATAAGGCAATGCAGAGGCCAAACTTTACTCATGTGCATGATTTGGTGCTTCCAAAGTGTTGCTGACAACGCATTACATGTGAAACACAAAAATGCTGCCTCCTCAAGCCCTCCTCCTCGTCCTCTGTGCAAGACGCAAAGGTCGCGGGATCGAATCCCGGCTGCAGCAGTTGCATTTCCAGTGGAGGCGAAAATGCTGTAGGCCAATGTGGTCCCATTTGGATGCATGTTAAAAAACCCCAGGTGGACGAAATTTCCAGAGCCCTCCACTACGGCGTCTCTTATAATCATATGAGTGTATTGGGACATTAAACCCATATCAATTAATCAATCAACTTCTGCAGAAGCCCAATTGATGTGGCAAACAAGGGCGTGCTCCCTTCAAGTTAGAGAGTTCCAAATCTGCCACGTAGATGTCAATGCATATGAACGTCTGGAATTTTAGACATTAAGAGTCTTCAGCATTTGATTTTTTTCGGCTTCCTGACCAAACTTCAGATCCAAAACAGTATTAACGGGGCCCCGCACCTACCACGTTTATCATCTTCATGTTGAAACCAGCGCTTTCTTGAGTTCCCCCATTTCGAATGCTCTGCAGACAGCACCAAGTTCGCCATTTGCATACCAGGTCCGTGGGCTTGTGCTGATGAGTGCCCTTGCAAGTGTGTCATGCCACTTGAGTTACCATATTTACTCGCATAATTTGCGCCGTTGCATAATTTGTGCACCCTTAATAATTTGTCAGCTTTAAAAAATATATATATATATATATATATATATATATATATATATACACACACACACACCAACATTTTGCGCTACCCGACTCAGCAGCTAACTCGCCAGCATATGTACGAAGAGACTGTGGAGCTATGAATTGTTTGGACAGGCGTGCAGCCGGCCTATCAGGCGACCACAGTGAAATGGGCTGTAAGTGCGAAGGCACTTTTTTCCAAAGACTTCCCTGAATTAGAGTCCATATAATGCCGTGCACAAACACTCAAACTTGTTGACACTCAAACCGCCGCATGAATGCACGCTCACATCACGGCACAGACAACTCTCGGCACCAGAGGAGTGCGAGGGCCTGTTGTGCGAACTGTTCCCGTAGTTCTGCGTCCGCGCTGTAACGCACGCATGGTTGATTTCGGAAGTTTATGTTTCACCATCTGTCTTTCGCGTTTTCACTATTCTCTTCCAATGCAATACAGTAGCAAAATTCAAGCTTGCTGTTGTGAAGTTCACCGAAGAAAACGGGAATCGTGCCATCGCCAAGCACTTCAGCGTGAAGTTTTCCAATGTGTGACCAACGGCGTAATCGGTATGGAAGAAAGAGTGCGCACTTGCTGATACAAGTTTTATGTCGTTGAAGAAGGACTTTTCAGTTATGTGTGAACGCTTAGGTCCTCCCGTATCGCCGTGCCCTGGGATCTTGTTTCTCCCTGCACTGTGGAAAAGAGCTTCAAGAAAACGACACATTCGAACATGCTGGACAGAACTGACGGCAATGCGCTTGGGAGGACGGTGGCAGCTGCTGCAATGATTCTCAACTGGACCTCTCCATGAGCGATTTTGACTAGACCGGGCGTTACCGAATCTGACAAGAAAGTGCACTTCGTTCGTGATCCAATTTATTTTATTTTCTTAATTATAAACTCTTTGCGTATTAGGACTATTGCACATTTTTTCGTATGCATTCGTAAAATCCCCGCATAATTTGCGCACACTTTTCGGATCCTCCAGAATTGCTAAAAAAAGTGTGCAAATTATGCGAACAAATACGGCACATACGCAAAAAACTGGTAGAGATACATAATTTTAAAAAATATATTTGACAAGTTTAAAAAATAACATTTTCTAGTAACTTCACTTATTTTTGGCTAATACAGTAGACTTGCGATAGTTCAAACTCTGATAATTCCTACTTTCGGTTAATTCAAACAAAATTAAATTTCTGGGTTGGCTCTCCATTCTTTTATTTAAAAGCCTCTTGATTCAAACTTCATCATTTGGTTAATTCATACTTTTTCCGGTTCCATACCAGAAAATATCTGCTGCTTTTCCCTCCCCCCAAGATGAAAGACTAAGTTGTTGGTTGGTTATTTCATTTTAATGGTGCAAAAGCAGCTCTATCTATGTTGCGCCTGTCACAAGTGGTTAAGTAAGGAGTAGTTAAGAGTGCACAGTTTAACAGTTTACCCAAAAAGCCAGTTGCCCTTAGAAAACTAAAAACATTACACAATGGAACGAGTAGCTCATCTCCTAGAATTAGACTAAGGTGTAAGGGTTTCGGGGTTTGTATAATTTGTGGAAATCTCTCATCCTTTCTGTTAAGGGCGTGTGATTTGGATATGTATGATTGTTAATCGTTCTCGGCATCTTTTGCGTGTTGGTTGGTGTTCCTTTCTCAGCAGGTAGTTTTCCGTGACATGCGTGTGCCCTATTCACAGTCGGCCTAATATAACCTCAATGTAACGTTCTTGACGACTAGAGGTTTTATCCTCACCTATTAGGGGCTTAACTAAACAAAGCTTATTGTTTATGAAGCTGTCCCAATGCTGTTGCCGTTTCGATAGAGCCAAACGAATATTCGCTGGCTATCTTTAGAAGGAACTTTTATCCTTATAACTGGTTTCTGCGCCCAAAGAAGCGTACTCACCGGCCATTTCATTTCCCGGAACCTCCATGTGACTAGGTATCCAACAGAAGCAGATAGTCATAGCCTCGCTATTTTATTGACCACCTTGTTTAACATATCGCCTAGTAAACGTTGATATTCTAATTTTCAATGTAGGGCTTTTAATGCACTTAAGGCAAATCCACAAATCTGGCGCAGGCCTATCGTCACTGGCACTTTGCTCGCACCATGGCAGGCAAACTCGGCATGACGACTGCACAGATTGTCTTGATTGGTGGACATGGATTTGAGGCAGCGGCGGCTCCTCGGTGCAGACGCGGTAGGCGGGGCTAAACCCATGTGATTAGCAGCCAGCACAGCTGCAATATGGCTCCCTATAGCCACCATCCGTGTCAGAAAATGGTCACTGCTGTCATAGAGCGCAAAATCGCGCGTGCGACTTGAATTCAACAGTCAATGAAGGCGCTGTTCCACAAACGAAAACGATTCGCAATGCGGGCTCGCTTTCCCACCTACAGGCAGACTTACAATTAAGCTTAGCAAGCTTTAGTTGTCGCAGCTATTCTCCCGTACCACTTCCCAAACTTCGTTCGGCACCTGCTACACTCGTTTGAGCTTGTAAATGCTACCTCGTCTGCACCCGATCCAACGTTTACTAGGGAAAACTTCCTGGGGCAGCTGCAGGCTTGACCTAATGAGCACCAATCACATAAACCGCCTCATCGGTAGCAGCCGCGGATGTGCAGTTTCGTACAGTCAACGAAATGCTTTGCAGTGGTTAATTCTGAAATGCGGTAGATATATTAAAACAACTTTTCGATCATGAAAGCAGCGACTCGCATCGTTTATAAAAATGAAGGCGTGATTAGTTCATGTGCTACATACGAGTTGTGGTTGGCAGTCGCAAATGCTTAGGACATTGTGCCTACAGCAAGTGGAAAATTGGTTGCATTCTGTGGGGAAATCCGGACAAGAAGCTCTGAAAAGATAGTCGGGGAGTTCCTGCAACAGTGTTCCTTTTTCTGCGTTAGTTTTGCCGGCACAGCAGGCCTGCGATCTTAACTTTTCAACATTTGCAAATTTAAGGGGATGAGATTTTACTCCCTGCTGCACGACTCGATTCTCGAAATAGTGCGGCTGCTGGTCCGACAAATCTTGCACCTTTGCAGTTTCTAGAGAATGGTGTTTTGCTTAGATGGCATACAGTCGACTTTCGTAAACTCGAACTCGAAGGGACCTCTGAATTCTGTTTGAATAATCAGAAGTTCTCAGATATATTACTGTGGGTGAGGTGACACTGCACATTACGATTAGGCATTGCTTTTATCGGATCTAAGAACTTATTAAGCGTTTTTAAACTCTAACTGCATGCAATGAACAGAAAGCAGAGGTGTAAGGTCCATAAGTTTATTGGACATTTACTGCTGATCAGACCTTTTAAAGAAATCATGAATTGCCAGCTGCTTCTTTGCTACTATGTGCCTTCAGCACAAAGCTCTTTATGCCAGTTAAGAAGAATCGTGGTTTACCATGCATGTGCTTCATTTCAAACATTAGTTTAGCAGTAAAAGCTTTTTCCTTGAAGGCCTAAGACACTTATTTTCCTTTTCTAGACTTATTATATAAAGCATGCAAATTTTTAAATAGCAGTGGGAAAGCAGCAGATATTTTCTGGTATGGAACCTCAAAAAGTATGAATTAACCAAATGGGTGAGATTTAATTAAGGGTTCTTTAAATACAGTGAAAGAGTAGAGGTCTTACCAAAAATTTGAATTTTATTTCAATTAACTAAATGTATGAATTATGAGAGTTTGAGTTATCGCGAGTCTACTGTATATTCTTTCCTTTAGCGACTTATGTAATGTAAGTGGTTTATGGTGTACGTAATAAAAAGGTATTTCGACCAGCACTGCACAAGTGCACTATTTTCCTTACTCTATGCGTACTCACAGCCGCAGCAGTGTAGTGTGTGCACGTGAGGATCGACTCATGCTAGAGTATTTAGACCTCGAGAGATTGTAGTTTCGTTTTCGAAATATAAAAACAACATGTTTGGCGCAACTTTGGTGCAAAATGTAGCAGCATGTAGCAGCATTATTATTAAGGCGAAGTTTGGTGCAATTGGCGCAGCTATCATACCACTGCCATGCGACATCCCCTGGAAGTACGTTGTCACCCAGGCTTAATGGGGCTCTGTCGGAGGAGATGTCCAGCACGCCCCAAACTTCATCGCTGTTGCCAGATGGCATGCGTGCTGCCGGGTGCACTGGGCTATGGTCAATGAGATTGTGTGCAACGTGTCGGTCACGACTGGGCGAAGTTTAAATTGGTGTGTGCGTTCATGAGAGCTCTGGAATTACCAGCAATGTCAGTTTGTCTCATGAGTTGAGGAGGCAAGGCAGGGGTGACACGGAAGGTACGATATAAATGTCTGCAGCGGCCTTGGTACATGGTGTGTCGCTAAATTTGTGGTGCGCATGGCAATGATGCTTTAGTCCAAACGCTGACAAAACTCTAAAAGCTGTTTGAGGGAACGTATTCGAATTTAAATTATTGGAAATTTCAAAGTATTGGAAATGAATCAAGGGTTGCATATTAGTCCGAATGTAATCTCTTTGTAAAGGTACTATCATTGCAGTGGAGGGGTGCTGTACAACATAAACACAGCTTTCAAAAAAAAAAAAAAAAAAACCCACTTCAATGTTAAATGGACATATTGCCCTCGCATTTAAAGCTTAAAACCTTGTACTGCCAGCTTATATGCTGGGCTGCACCTAGACCTTTCATATTGCAAAACAAACAAAAAGGATACTGTTTGATTTAAGGTCTCTATGAATGATGTTCTTGGCATGAAGGTAGCTGAAAAAAGACAGGAGAGAAAAACATAGTCAGATCGCAGACAGACAAATGTGCATAAAGCATAAAATGCAAGCCAGATGCAGACAGCAAGTCCCAACAACTACAGTAAAACCTCGTTAATTTGAAGTCACTGGGGCCACAAGAAATTTTCATATTAAGAGAGTTTTCAAATCAAAAGAACATTTAAGAAGTGGGATGCAAAGAACTTAGAACTGTTCAAAATAATCAGTGCTGGTTGATGGCTGTGCCGGCTACCTTGCGGCTCAAAAGGTTATGTTTTCCAGTAATATCTGGTCTTAAAATTTTGCCACGAACATGGAGGAATGGTGGGCCTCACTGCTGTTACTGAAAAAAAATTCGGCAGATCCCACCCGTCTGGAAATCTACGTTATGCGAAGCATACGGAGGGAAGGTGACCTTGTTGCAATTTTTTTATTGAGCGACACGACATGAAATAACGCTAAATACATGTACAAATGTTACATGCAGAGACATATGTTGAAGAGTTCCACATGTCTATATAACCAGTTGTTTGCACTTGTGCAACGAGGCCAACACGAACATGAGTATTAGCAACACCAGAAGCTGATATGAAGCGCTGATGCTCGCGAGGATGCTGGCCCTGGACACTGCTACATAAAACAACTTCAGCACATGGCAACTAACCACAATTAACGTTAACCCGACATGACGGCTGTGTCAAAAGAGTCCATATGCAATGTTTATAAAATTGGGTAGGCACCACTGCAACTGCTATTGACGTTTCATGAAGATTAGCGTCTATTTGAAAAGTAATTCCGAGACCTGGCGTAGCTCTGTGGTAGATTGCTTGACTACCACGCAGAATGCTTGAGTTTGATTCCTGCTGGGACCCTAAAATTTATTCTTTGCATTTGTCGGGTCAACGCTACCGATGTCGGTTATTTCTTAACGCTCACGCGATAAAGAGACCCTGAAACGGTTTTGACGATATTTTACAAACACAAAGGGCCGGTAGACAAAGTCTCAAGGATAATTTAGAGACCGATTTGAGCTCTCTGCATAAACTTTGTAAATTATTACAATGCTTTAAAGCTGCAAATCGCTCTAGATCGCTGCATATCACTGCGACTCGGCCAAACACGTTTTCAACCGCTCATACACCAAGCAACACGCTCTGCCGACTGACGTCATTGTTTCCAGCTAATCTGATCGGCTTCGTAATGCGCAGCACAGACTGCCGATATTGGATCGGCGGCAGGATTTACGCGTATGCGGTCTCATGCCACATTGTGACGCAGGCGCCGTGAAAGCAGAGCTTAGCGCCAAGCCCTCGAAGGAAGAGCTCAGGGCAGCTGAGGGTGAAAAGCGGAGCTAAGGAGGAGGGTACTTTTCTAGTACTCGTAGCTCCGTTAATAAATGGGTGTTTAGAATGAACTCTGGTGCCAATGATTTGCTCCAGTAGTGTGGTCTAATCAAATGTGAAATGTAAAGAAACCATTTCAGGGAAAATTTAAAATTGCCCATGTGTGTTCTCGTTGTTCCTGAGTAGATTGTAAGTGTCAATCACCTGTGGCACATATTCGCATAAAAGCGGCACATAGCCACCCGAAAGTATGTGACACAGTCTGGCAAGAAACGTTTGATGATGTACGGGACGGCATTGTGACATTATTGATGTCTTGACCAGCGCATCGTATTCGTCAAACCATCTTACCCTCCCATGCTAATTTTGCTTCATGCCAAGTTAAGGCGGTGACCACGAGAGCACCCCAACGTAAGCGGCTAGATAGGTAGATAGATATGATCAAAGTCGTTGAAGTTTGCTAAGACATGCTTCGCATTAAACAAAATTATTTCGTGATCAAACAGAATGTGCACCTGCGGAAAACAAGACATCTTTACTGCAACACAGTAGCGACATGAGGGCAGCATGACGCCTGCTCTTTGCTGCAACAGCACATTATGATGCAAGCATTCGCACAGTCTTTCTGTTATAATTAGGAATTTAATAATGGCTAGTATGATGAAGCTCGCAATGTGTTTTGGCTACAAAAGATGATCTTTGCAACTTTTAAACTTGGTTTTCGAAGCAGGTGTTGCTGGCAGAAACTTCGCCAGCAGTGCAAAGATGCAAATTGCTGGAGCAATCGGCAATCGGAGGCTCGCATATATCGCGATTTTGCCAAACTGTCCTTTATTAATTTCTTGACAATCCCACAAACAAAAGAGAACCATGATCCGCTGACGCTGCGAGAAACATGCGAAGAAACTGCCCGCGTGTCACCGCTGTGTTCCAGTGAAGCACATCTAATTTTCCACAGGTGTTTGTTTTGATTGACCACTTTTTTTTTTGCACTGCAAGTAGCGAGACTGGGGTGCTTCAGCTGCCACTCATTAGTATCCCTACATTGCATTGCCTAGGGGCTATTAAGGGCCGTCGTTTCCATGGATTTGCGGCGAAATCGGGATCTGGAACTGGCACATGGCACCTGAAGTTTTCGAATTAACCGGACTGGTGCCGGCTGCTGCTTCAAATTATCCACTCAAACTTACATTTCAATATATGGGACTGCAGAAATCATTCAAGTTAAGGGGGATTTTGAAATAACTGAGTTCATATTAATGAGGTTTTACTGCACTATTGTAGCACCTTGTCAATGAAATCTCCGAGCACACGTAGGCACATGCACATAAAAAAATAGTCGTTCAGTATTTGAAAAAAAAAAAAAAAACTGTGCAATGGGGTTTAAAGCAGAGCATGATTCCATTTGACAACTATATGTCAAAGATTGCACACCAGACAGTGTTGCCAGCTTATTTATTAAATTTGGATAGGATAGTTAGCCCATTGGCACATGCATACTAAATTGATTCCTCATAATTACCAATTCACTGAAAATTATAGCACACAAAGGGTTAAACTATATTTCCAACTTAATGATTTCCAACAGGTGTACCTACTTATCACTAGCACTTACTATCTTTAAGATTTCCACCGTCATGTTCTAAATGACATGTTCTAAATTGTTGTCAGTACCTATAACGCAATGACTCCGCTTGTAACCAATATCCAATTTAAGGCAAATCTGTACTGATGAGTTAGTTGTTGAGCCATGATAGAGATGAAGCAGTGCACAGAGGACACAATCACACACACGGATGGTGCAAACACATGCACTGTATTGCAGCGCTTGTGTTTACATCAGTTTTAGGCACGGTGTATAAAAAATAATTTAGGTGTGCACACTCTTGGCCCGCCACAACAGAGACCGTGTCCAGATAATGTTAGGATTTAGCACATGCGCCGGCCACAGTAGCGTAGCGCTATACAGTCGACTCCTCATCATTTGAAGCCATTAATTGGAATTCTCATTTAACTATAAATCAACAAGTGGTCCCATCAACTTCACATGCACGCCTATGGGAAAAAGTGCTCGATAATACAAAGTTAAAAGCCCTTAATGTTGGTTAATTAGAAGTTATTTTTCAGACGAGAGCCTCAAGGCGACCGTAACTTTTCAATAAAATGGGAAATTTTTCATATGCCAAGACCGCCAAGACAGCTGTTGGACCGCACTGTAGCCACCACTGCCACTGCCCGCAGTGCCACGGTTCATGAAGCGGACATCATGTTTAGTTAACGCTGAGGCATTGCAGTGATTGCATCGGCTAACTAGGTCTTTCATTTTGATGTGTTGAGCGGTGGTCGAGTGCTTTAGCTGCGCGCTTGGTTGAAGTCTGGTCAACGTCAGAAGAGCAAGACTGGACGCTGGCGGAAAAGAACCCTCAAACACACACACAGTGCTGTATGAGTGTGAGTGTCCTGCTCTGTCCATGCCCAGTGCCCAGTTGCGCTGTTCATAGCATGATAAGCCAACATAGCATGATAAACCAACTAGCCCACCAATGCACTGTGGGTTGATTTTGCACGTATTTCCACAACTGATTTTGAGTGTTGTAGTGGTGACGTTTGATAATGGCAACTCGCAGCCCCTACCAAATGCTTGACCTGGCGTCGAAAGTCTTAAAAAAAGTTGACCGTGGAGGCACCGGCAAGCAAGATATTGCACGAAAGTACAGCCTAACTCGCTCTTGAATTTCATCAAGTGCAAACAGGCGAACTCGACGGCAATAGTTTTGGGGCTATTCGTAGTGACGTCTATTTTGAAAAACTCGTTGCTGAGGACAGCAACGTCGATACATGCGGTTCACTAACAAAAAAATTGTACAGATGGTTCGGCTGCAGATGTTGCTGTGGGTCTTGCTCTTGCTCTGCAGCTTTTATGTTTTGCTAAAGAAGGCAATGCTGAAGAAGCACTTTGACATGTGTAGTACTTGGAAAACTTGCAAGCTGCAGCCAGTTTCGGCAAGAGAAGGTGACAGACTATTTTCTATGAGAACTGTCAGGTTTGAAGCGAAAGTTTTTTGTGGTTCCTGTGAACTTCGATGATGATGTTTGATGTTTTATGGCGCAAGGGCCATTTCACGGCCAAAGAGCGCCAGTTCATCTTACTAAAATTATGGACAATGATTGTGATAAGCGGCTGTATAAGGACCATAAAATTCCTCGCAGTAAGGCGGGTAAAAACATGCAAGTAATAAAATCATGACCATGCGGTGAAAGGTGTGTGTGATGTGAATAGATGACAAAAGTTGGTGATAATAAAAGACGATGGTGCATATGTATGGCATTAGCACAAGTGCCTCACTCGTTCATACCCTTGCGTCCAAGGGCCGTGAGGCATGTGCTTTCTTGTGTAGCCACCGCAGCAAAAACCTCTCTGGAGAGGTCATGCTACGGTATGCCCGGGTATATGACATGAAAGCTATGAATTTCTTTTAAAAACGCTAACAATGATTTATAACTAAAAAGCGGTTCCCTACCGACAAACATTGCAGGGTGTAAAGGTATATGTTGTCGGTAGGGTAATGGAAAGTGTTGTTTTCTTACAGTGTCCAATTGTTTGCACTCAATTAAAATGTGAAGGACTGTCAATGCTTCACCACATCTGTCACAC